ATTCTCCATCACCTACATTGATTCAAAATCAGTTTGGGGATTTTAAGTATTTTTGTTTGCTTGCAATTACCCATTGGCCCAGTGATTACAAGTGGGACTTGAGCATTGACAGGAGCAGAAAAACTACTAATAGATTTTTTTTTTGCTTTATTTGGTAGATGAAACAGGAGCATCTAGAGAAAACTAGGCAGTGAGAAACTAAAGGGAATAGCTGATTTGTTTGACAATTATACTTTCCCCCTAGGAGTCCAATCCTGAAAACACTTAAGCTCAGGTGTACGGCCTGAATCACAGCCCTTTCCAATCAAAAAAAAAAAAGACTCCCACTGACTTCAATAAGCTTTAGAGCAGTCCCTTTGTGCTTACGGCAGCAGGTGGGTCCATTTATTTCAATGTAACTACTTACGCTAGTAAGCATTAGTCCCTGCAGTAGGCATTTCCCACATGTCTTATATTTGATTTATTTCAGAGACTAAGTTATTACAAATTGCCAGGCTGGGCACAACAGTTCCAGTAAATAACATTTTCCTCAGAAATAAGTAAAACAAAAAAACATGAAAAACTTGGACAGCAAAACCTGGTGGAGGTTTTTTATTGAGGGAGGTGGGGAGTCTTTTCTATTTCAATATATATGAACAATAATCCAACAAAGTCTGCTCATCCCTGATGCCATTTACTTCTTGGCAAAGAGATATTCAAAGTTAGTCCATGCCATGAAATTCTGGAGGTCTGTCTGCCTAGGAGCTCATGGATGAATCAACTGGACCTGAATGAAGGCTTCCTCTTCCCTTGCATGCTGGGAAGTTTGGCTCCATGCCATATTTGAATAGGCAAGTACAGAGCAAAGACCGAGAGGCGCTTGAGGAAGGAAATAACTAAATCTGCTCTCACAGAAATCTAGCAGCCGAAAAAAACACTAGGTAAAGAGTATCGAGGGACACCAGTCGCTATTCAGGACCCCAGGATACAGCAATATATCTGAGGCCTGCCTTCAAGTGGTGGGTCCATGTATTCAATTCCCCCAGAAACCCATTTACTCCAGCTTCCTCAGGAAAGACTTTCATTGTGTTTTCCTGCCTAGTAATTTAAAAGCAGGTTAATGCTTGGATCCCTTCTCCCTTACTACAGTGTATGTAAGAAATATTCATAGAACCATAGGAAAGCAGAGCTGGAAAAGACTTCTGGAGGTCATCTAGTGCAACCCCCTGCCTGAGGCAGTCTCATCCCTATCAATGCCACCCCAAGCACATTTTTTCCTAATCTATTACTCAAACTACACAGGCAATCCTGCCACACAACCACAAAGCATAGCACCCTAATTTGCCACAAGTAAAGTAGGGGAACAATGGTACTGCTGCAAGCGCTGTCAAGATACGCTTGAGAGAGCTACGGAAGAGGTCCACACAGAAGGCGGCAACCCCCACCCTGGTCTGTGCCAGTATGACCATGGGGTAAAATTCCTTCCTGATCCCAAATGTGGTGATCAGTCTGACCCTAAATAGAGAGACAAGATCCTCTAGTCAGGAACCTCTAGGTTTTAGTCCCAGCAGCACTGGCATAAGCTAATTAAAATCCCCAGCTTCGTCTACAGCTAACACCCCGTGCTTTGGAGGAAGATGAAAAAATTGCCCTGATGTGTAGGAACAGGAGAGGTTACAGTCCTTTCCAATTTTGGGTCATCTCCAGACTTGCTCAAGAAGCTGTCTGTTCCAGCATCCAAATAATTAATAAACATATTGAATAATACTGGGCCCAGGATATACCCCTGTGGAACTCCACTCAAAATCTTCTGACTTTCCAACATGGATCCACCATAATTACCCTTTGTTTATGGGTATTATGGCAGGTCAACTCAAAATATATTCTGATCAGGTGAGAAGGAAATTGGTGGCTTGGGAACTTGTTAAGCAGAAGAACCCACTAAAAGCATGCATTTTCTTGGTGTTAAGAGTACATGAAGGTGCAATTTATCACAGAACTAGAGACAGAACAAAAGACCATTTCTAGGCTGTCAAATCAGGGAATAATCTTTGCCATGGCTATTTAAAGTTTAGCACCCATAAGTTATTAAAGTCACTGAGGGAGAGATTTAGAAAAACTAAACTGCTAAGTATGCAAAAATAAATGGACTAATGAGAGCACAGATTTTGAAGAATACTATAAGGCCATGGAGTTCCAGTCTCAGATATAGCACTCTGCCTGTGCTTTTCTGTCCTATACGTAAACCAAAAGCCAATGCAAGTAGAGAATGAATGGAGTGACAACTTGAGAGATCTTAGATAAACGCATGCTCAATAATGTCTAAAAAATGGGTAGGCTAAATTAAAAAGAGACTAAAATAAGGCATGACTACTCACGCGTGTTTGCCATGAAAAAAGGAGCCCTGAGGTTAGAAGGCAGTATCTCAGGGTGACTCATGACTCTTCATGACTGAATAGTTATTCTGCAAAGACATGATCTTCCCCTGGGAAGAAATTATCCTAGATTTGTTTTGGTTCAAAATATTGTGTTATATGGTCACAACTCTTTTTTTTTTGGTGGGGTGGGAGAAGTTTTTTCTTTTAGGATATTAAAAGAAAATATAGGAATGTATTCTTCTAGGAAAATATCCTATTTTCTTCTAGGATGCCCCATTCACATGTCCACAGTAGAAGAGAACAATTGATAAATGAAACTTTGGATCAATTTTGAATTGAATGGAGCTTAGTACCTCCACATAATCAAGCTGTACATTAATGCTACACAGATCCATGCTGATAAAGTATTCTTAGTTAACTGTAAGAATCCACTATTAAAATTGTTGTCCTGTGTTGGAAGTTTTGATGCCATATATTGCATGTCACCTTGAAAGTCAACACTTTAAACATTCTGCTTACCTAAAGTTCTAAGCCTACTTTTTTAATAGAGAGGTGCCTTTTTTGGTTATATGTTAATACAATTGCTGTTATTTTTAATCTTATTACTACATCTTAGTACATTAAAGCTGTTGGGTTTGGAATAACAGTATTAGAAGAAAGCCAGATCATTAGAAAACCGGAGAGCTACTTTATTAGAAATTTAATACAAACACAGTTTACAAAAAAGTATGCAGGGAAAGCTAATTCCAGCTGAGAATTGCAGAGAAAGGTACAGGATCTAGTCACTGAGCAAAGGCAGAGAGAGATTAAATGTGACTTACACAATGAGACAATACCCAGAAACTTATGTAGGTTACCAAACTGGAAGTTAGTCACTCTAGTTCTGCCATGGCAAGTGGACAAATGAGGTCCAAAAGCAAGAGCATTTGGCAGTTTTAACATTCAATGAGTGGATGAGGGAATGTATGCACCTTGCTGGGTCTAAAACTTTCTGAAGATTCAGAATGAAGGAAATGCCACTGAGTGCTGTGGAATATTCGACCATTCTACCTGTGATATCAATTCAAATGTTGAGCTGTAGCTCTTTCCAAAGAATATAATCATCTCAACTTTTAAAGTGGTTTATAGGAAACCTTAGTAACAGCTTACTGTTGCTAACAAAACAGCTTACTCAGGTGATATTAAAAGTTTGAAAAGCAAGAGAGAGACTGCTTCATGTAGGTCAACCTTCTTCTACCATCAGCACAGGAATGTAAGTAAAAACATACAATTTCCTAATAAGAGACTTCTGCTACTGGGTTCATTGCTGCTTTTTGCAGCAAACCCAATTTTTTGCAATATACTTCTAAAAGCTACTGTAGCTTTCTGTTCACTCCTCACCCACCCCCAGCTGTCTCTTGCCCAGTGCACTTTCTCAATTGGTATTAGGCCACCATTCATATTTTGCATCTGTGTACCCATGGAGTGATTTAGACCTGGATACAACTCCTGCTAAATCAGACAAAACCTAGAACAGGGTTAAGCCATGTGGTCTAAATCTGGACTGCATCGTTCCCTAAAGTTCTTATCATTCACAACTTGGACTCTATTATAAAAGATATATACTATAAAAATATAGCTGAACTGCAAAATTAAATTTGGATTCAAACTTTCCCCAAATTTAGTGCTAATTCTGATAAAAGATTTTGATTCAGAATCAATTTTTACTTGCAACTGGGCCATGGCTAGACTGTGGGTGCATTTACACATGTGCTTCAGTGAATATTGGCTTATTTAAGGAGCATTAAAACATCACCAAAAAAGTGCCCTTTAGCTAATGGGCATTAAAGTAGGTTAATGCACATTTTTGTAGTACCTCACGTTGGAGGGCACTTTAACATGTGCTTGAGGGGTGGAGGCAGCAGTGCTTTAAAGTGGCTCTGAAAGCCACTCTAAAGCGTTGCAGCATCTCAAAAGATTTCTGCATGTCAGAGCAGCCTCTGCACTTGTGTTGAGGCACCCAGAGGTACTAGATTTAATGTGCGTTACGTAAAGTGAATTAATGAACGTGTAGACATGCTCATGTAGGTTATATATAGGTTTATGTGATTCAACATTTTAATGAATTATTCAGAGTGAGTGTGTGTGTGTGTGTGTGTGTGTGTGTGTGTGTGTGTGTGTGTGTGTGTGTGTGTGTGTGTGTGTGTGTGTGAGAGAGAGAGAGAGAGAGAGAGAGAGAGAGAGACTAAGTTAACCAGAGGAACTAGTAATTTTTTTAAGCAAACACATTTTTGGAGGAACTGCTTATAAAATCTGGCACTCTCATAAGAAGTCCCATTTTAAATAATAGACTTGGATACGTTTAAGCTCATATTAGATACAGTATGTTTTATTCATGCTCAATCAAACTGTGGTCCTACTGGGAATTTGTCATACTTCAAGGGAGTAGGATTTAATCTAAGGGAAATTAAAAATAAGTACACAATCAGTTTACATTTTAATTAAAGTAAACCCTCCTTCATTCATACTTTTTCTCCACTGTATGGATGTATATGGTATGGTAACCGTTCATCAGAGAGTGATGGTGGATAATGTCTATTACAATAATTAATTATGAGACTAAGACAAGTGAAGAAAATTAGATGGTGAGGGTCAGAAAGAAAAAGAAAGCAGAAACAGTACAATGGATTCCATTTTCACTAGCACTAGAAAAATGGTGCATTAACTAATGTGCTGGAGTGCACATGGAAACCCTGACTGGGAGCAATTTGCACCCAGTAAAGCCCAGGCAACTATAGGCCACTGCTGCCTGGCTAAGCCTCTATCTGCACAGGGTAGAGGGAGCTGTCCCAGCTGCAGGGCAACTATCTCTCAGCCCACGTGGAGATCAGGACTTGTCCTGATCTCCATAGGGCAGGGAGAGCTGTCCCGGCTCTGGGTGCATGTGGCTGGGAGGCAGCTGCCCCCAGAGCCAGGTCAGCTCTTCCTGCTCTGCGGAGATCAGGAACAGCCCCCATGCCCCTTGCCAGCTGGGACTGGCACCTAGGGCTCCCTCTGGCTGCTGCAGGTGGATAGAGAAGGGCAGGAGCAGCCCTGGACTTTACTGCTCCTGTCAGGAGCAAATTTGCTTCTGATGGGCACATGTTCAGATGTGTGCCTGAGAGCACTTTAATGCACCTGAATTTTCCATGCAGAGTTCAGGAGTATTATTTGCACATGTAGATAGCTAAGGCCTGTTCCTATTTCCTTCTGCTTTTTGGTTTCATTACCTGCTATGCTTGGTTCTTAATTTAGGCTGCAAAAACTCTGGTATGGGGATTCTTGTTATTAATCATGCATATGGCACTTAGCACTGTGAATCTCTGACCATCACATAGGTTCCTTGATGTTTTTATTACACGCTAATAATATCTTGTGACACTAAAATGTAGGAAATACCATTCAAAGCCTCCTTCAATTTCAGTAGTTATTACATTTAAGATCATTTACCTTTCGTTCTAATAGTTAATAAACACGTCTTATTTAAAAATATTTCCCTTTTTCTGCTCAGCTCTAATGTGCCAATTGGCAGAGCTCATTTTATCACAACAATATTTTTTCTAAGTATCTGTTTCATGGGACTCTCAATATCTTCTAAAGTAAACACCAAAAGACCACACTGGTAGCAAGGATCAGGTTTAGTGTATTCCTAACAACTTGGCACTATACTATCTAGCTTATTCAAAAGTCCATACCGACTGCTTCTGTTATGCATCTGAATTGTAAGCTAAGTACTCATGTGAACATTTCTTACCACAGGAAAACCACAGAATTTGGGGAAGTCCATGAGCTCACATCAGATGAAAAATTTGTAGAAGGAATATACAGGGTTGAGTTTGACACCAGCTCATACTGGAAGGCACTTGGCCTTTCCCCATTCCATGAATATGCTGACGTGAGTATTTATGAATATATCTATCTAATGTCTTTGGATATTGTGTAGAGCAGCAACTAGGGAAAACAAAAGAACTGTCCACTTAATGTGCAAAGAACAGTATTAGGAATTTAAATGTTACAATGATTGCAATCCAAAAGAAATAAAGCCACTGTTTTTTCATGTTAATGGTTAGATACTCCGCTAGTATGAATGGGCTTACCCTCATGGAAATCAATGGAGCTGGACCCATTTATACCAGCAGACAATTAGACCCTGTACTTAAAACAATGCATAACTAAAAAATGTTAAAACTACAATGTCCTGCAGCATGGAAATGCTTTTATCTTTACTGCAAGGAATGCACGGCTTTAGAAACCTCTAGTTAACAAATGGTGAATAAATACTGTAAAGGGGAGAAAGGGTCCCTTCTTGGTTTGAATAGAGACCTCAGGTTCAGTAATTTGAAAACAAATTCATTCTTTCTTATGATGCGTCTCTTCAGAAAAGGCAACCATAATGTTCTGCATGCACATCATTTTTTAGTAAAGCTCAGAGTGGATTTTTCCTGGACTACTTCTAAATGATGTGATAGAAAAAATTGCAGCAAATGGCATTTTGTAAGGGAAAGGAAAATTAGCCAAGGATTTTAAAGGTGGCTCTATCTAAATTTCTTGAGAGTTAAGTAATACTAGAGAGAGCTTAGTATGATTCTTCCTTGTGGGTTTCTTGGCTTGTGGCCCCATGCTTAGAATGATAGGCATATAAATATTATTATTATATTTAAGAAGCACACACTATTTTTCTTGTACACATCTTGCTGTTATTTAAGCTACTAATTTTACCTTATATTAATTATGCAATCCTAATGGATGAGACACAAGATAAATAGATTCATATTAGAGGGCTTGGAGCCTGAGTCAAAACCTACTGAGGTCAGTTGAAAAAATCTTTAGATTTCTTCAAAGCTTTGCTAGTGTATCTTGTATCTTATTTATCAGGGTGCATTATTAATGAAAGGCAAACTTGGTAACTGAAATATTGAACCATCCGCAAAAGATACATATGGGAAATAAAGAATAACTCAGAACACTGAGTTAGTTTCGGAGCACGTATGTTGTTGTTCAAGTTTACAAATATTTTCTTTTCCAGGTGGTTTTCACTGCTAATGATTCCGGTCACCGTCATTATACCATTGCTGCTCTCTTAAGTCCTTTCTCTTATTCAACCACTGCTGTTGTCAGTGATCCACAAGAATAAATACGGTGTCATCATCCAGAATATCCACCACTGATAGAATTACTGTAGGATTTTAGGAGGAGGTGATTTTCTATTGATAATGACATGTCTTTTTGCAATAGTAGTTTTTAGCATTTTGTAACCTGACTAAAATCTCAAGCAAGTCAATAAATGTTTCCTCTTTAAAACAATTTTCATTCTAAATGTAGTATTTTACTTTGCTCAGAAGAAGGATGGCGTGTGTTGAAGTATGAAAGGAATTTTGGAACACCACTAATAGGAGGCAAATGAACACTTGGCTTATTACAGTAACCTAATCTGGTGCCTTTTCCCCCATTCCAAAGAAAATAATCCATCCATTATCTTAACGTATAATGCCTGGCATTTTAAAAGAAGTCATGTTTTGCCTGGTGTTCTGCAAAAAATTATATTTTCTTTCTAATACACAGGAATAGAAATTGTTCTAATGAAACAACTCATTTTTAATTCATTATTTAGACTATGCTGATGGCAAAAGCTCAAATGAGAAAGACACACCATTTTCATAAAACACATACAAGGCAATCCCAGCAGCAAACAGGACATTTGAAGCAAAGGGGAAAAGCAATATACAAGTAGAATGAACAGGGTGATAGTTTTCAGCATGAGGTTGCAATTAAAATGCTAAGCATATTCAAACACTTGAAGAATTCATTAAATTTATATAGGCTTTAAGACCTCTCATAAATCTCTGCACTTGCTAGTTTGGTTTAATGGAAGAAAAGTAGTTCCTGACTGAAACCAATACATAATTATCTTATATGCTGTTATGTCCTTTAAATATTTCCATGAAATCTTACATGAGCTCATTCAAGACTGTAAGAAAAAGACACTGCAGGAGTTATCTTCACTTACAACACCAAATAGACCCAAAATTATATAGATCAAATCCTATTTGTCCCGAATCTGAATTGTTCATGGAAATCATAAAAGATCATAAAAAAAGGAGAGGTCAAGATGTAGGCTGGCTAGTGGCTAACTATGCCTGTGATTCGATAAATTCATAAAAGAGTTCTAGTTGGAAATCCTTTTTCTAAACTGATGAATTAACCTGTTTTCTTGAATATGAATTAAGGTAAAAGAAGCTTTGTTCTACTGGATTGCAGGGACTATAAAGGCAGCTAATAAAATAACACCTCTCAGAAACAATCTGTGCCCACTTACCAATGGCTTCTGACTTTTACACTCTGCAAAGCAAAAGCTTGCTCAGATGAAGAAGTTTCAAGTGAAATCAGAAGTTAAATAACTCCTCCAAAATATTTAAATGTTCCATTACCTCATTTCTGGGCTCTACCCTTCTTACACAACTCTAATAAATTGCAAGCAGACAGGTCCAATAGTGGCCCAAGGCATCTGGTTTTTGCAAAGTTTTCTATTTCTGAAGCATGAAAAACAGTAGGTTTGACTTGCACTTGCCATTGCCAAACTTTATGAATATGACATCTGTTCACTGTGTATAGAAAACAATATATTTGCTAAAAATATTCTAAAATAAAAATATTAACGTGATAACTACATATATATTATCCACCTAAATCTAGTATAAGTTGGAGCAGGCATATTGTATGTGTGAGAAAAATTAAGCTCTCATTTTAGGGCTCTATAACTTCTTAAAATACCCTCTGTCCAGGACTTTCAAAATCCTTCACATTTGCTTTGCTTGGCTTGGCACCACTCATGCAAACTTTTGTAGCCACATACTTTGAGGTTAGGAGGGCAAGACATTTCTGGTGTGTTTAGGTTCTCCTCAGCGATGATACATCAGCTGTAAAAGGTACAAGTGGGAGATGATCTGAAAGGTTGTTTCAGACCATGGTTGGGGGAATCTGTACAGCTCAAAGGCTGGGTAGAGCCAAAGATATTTGCACATCTCAGGGCTCAGGTAGGGGTAGTTTAGCAAACACATTTAACCAAGGAAGGAAATCAGAAGGAAGAAAGCTTTCATCAGATAAAAGAAGGCTGAATGCATGGCTGAGAATGTTTCCCATGATATGCAAAATCCTTACTGACATCAAGAAAGTACATTTTTATAAGAGCAATGAGAAAAAGTATTTTCTGACAGTGAACAAGATCACATACCATACAAGATCAACAACAGAATAAAAATCAGGGGAATAGGCTATACAGAATAAAATATTAGAAATCATTGGTGCAGCTAGGTAGAAAAGCCCTCTGCATTATTTCACAGGAGATGACACAGACTAATCTCCACAGACAAGGTTCATGTTTGTGTGGGTTACTTATTGTCTTATTATTTACTAAGCAAATAATCAGAATCAGCAGGTTTGAAGCCATTTGACAAGCCTAATTTGAGGAGATTGAATATAAAATCACAAATCCTATAAGTTTCTAGTTGCTGACATGGAACCTCATTGATTGCAAACAGAATGGCCCTTTGTCCTGTACTTGTGCTGGTATTTCTTTCTGAAGAAGTGCCCCTGGTAAGTGCTTAGGCATAGAAGAGGGCTTTCAAGTATGGCTAATATAACCTATCCCCTTTTTTAAAGGACGAGACATAGAGTAAGTGAAAAGCAAATCATCGTATTTTACCAGTATTACATTTACTTTTAATGAACACTGTGCCAACCCCGACACACTCCCACTCCTTCTTCCTGTTTCTACAAAGAAACTCCTCCTCTACTCTGGCTACAGATCTTCCCATGCTGAATGCAACAGGTAGGTTGTAATTGGAGTTGGCACTGCTGATCATGATTGACTCAGCATTTGTATGAGAAGCATTTGTGTTCCCACTGCCCACACAAATGTCAGTTTTGGAGGGTGTGGAGAAGCAACCCCACAAAGGATCACGACCCCTGGCAGGGAGGGATCTCAGGAAGGGTACACAGTGGTGGGGTGATAATATATTCTGTTGAGAACCCCTATCCCGCCAGACTTGCCTGTCTGGTGATTCACCCACTACATCCTTCCATAGTGGTTCTTGCTGAAGACATCAGGAAAGAAGGGGGATGAAGTGGTGCCCTGCCTCTTCTCTAACTTTATTACTTTTGTTCCTCATGTCTCTATTCTGCACACCTGAGAGATTTAAGACCCAAATTACCACCCTCACTTCTCCTCACTCCCAGCTGCACTCAGGGGCTCTATAAAAGGAAGTGAAAGACCCAGAACCCAGCAGTAACTTTACCTCCATAGTTTTATTCTGAATCTCCCCCCAGCAAGCTCTGATGTTTAGTCTTTTGGAAGTGTGGGAAGAAATAAAATAGGCTGGAGATGCCTGGATATTAATAGCTCCTCTGAAGTGGCTCCAGAGATTCCTTTATTCACAGCAGCGACTTTTATCATGCATGATCTTCCCAGCTGATTTAGTAAGATACCTCAGCAGCTAGGAAGCTGTTCATCTGAAAAACAGACATAAGATAGGGGAGTAAGTCAGAGGCCACACACGCTTCGTTCAGCTTTTCCTGGATGCAAGGGAAGAGCTCCTAAAGGTACAGTGGATTGTGGTGAGGACCTAAGAAGGGATTCAAGATGAGCACATGGGGGTAACAGCAATAAAATTACTATGATTTTAAATGAAAACTTTTCAATGTTTATTACAAACAGAAACAGATTTGATGGAACTCAGTGGTGGCCATTCAGAAACTGTCAGTAACCAACAGCTTCTGTGAAGCTCTAGTGGGGGGGGTTTAATCCTCTCTCTCTTTTTCTCTAGGAGGTTGGGTACTGAGAGGGCTCACTTTGAGGGTGGCTAACACAGCAGAGCATAATCATTGTCCTAAAGTGCAAGCAAGGAGTGTAATCTTTGTGGGCCCACATGTGGAAAAGGCTTTTTAAACCCTACCTCCTCCTGCTTCCCACATACATCTGCCAGGAGCTGACCAGTCAGGGTCCTAGTGGAATTACAATAACAAGAGGATGCAAGCCTATTTTTCAAGGTGGCTTATTGGCATGGTAACCATCATAAGGGCTCTATGGTTAAGTACTGA